TGAGCTACATGTTTTGTTACTTGCTCACGCCCCCCATTGCCCTGAAAAAGGCACATTCTGTATAAACAAAAGTAGGTAGGTGGCATTTTGCTGCAAGATGCTGTAAATGCTGAAAGAAGACTGATTGGGCTTTCCTGCAAATTTGCACAATTCCTGTTTAAAAAGGGCTAATGAAAGTTGCTCAGTGGCGCATGAAGCCACAAAACATCCAATTCTTTTGGATGATGGTTTAAAAAAATGCATCTGAAAAAACGTGCAAAGGCCTTTAGTCTACATACGTTTTCTATATTGTGTCACAAGAATCACCTAAATCTCGTGAAACGCTTAATTAATATTTTGGTTTTCATTTGTCGCTTTGGCAATAATGCTTGTGTTCTGCCATCACACACTGAATGCTGAAGAATTACCATGGACGTCAGAGCTTCTGATCCACAGATGGATGAGTTCGGTGTCTTCATGTAAAGCATGTAGGAAGCAGAGATTAGGCAAATTAAAAGCGAGCCTTATATGCATTTATTTCATGTGCAGCACCAACTGTTGGTATTAGCCCTTTTTATCCTGTACTGTACGTAACTGGTTGCAATCTATTTAAATATTTATGACTGAATACAGCCTGCCTGACAGCTGATCGCTTCAAGTGTGAGAACATCTAATTATGTCTGGGCAAAATAAGACGTACTTTTGTTGGACAAATGCAGCTTTTGCTTTGCTTTTGCATTGACAACCAGTGCTAGGAGTAAAACATGAACCATCTTTACTTTCTTGACCACAAAAGGATTCACATACAATCACGTTACTGTTCTGTACTGAGATTCTTGCCTTTTGAAGAAGCATATTAAGATGGTTTCTGGGAGAGAAGGAAGTGTTGAAACTCAATCTGGCCGGCAGCACAAACACACAGACACTCAGTACACACAGTAGAGCCCAGTAAGGTGAATAAAAAATCCATTAAACGCACTGGTGTGCCTCAGAGAGAGCCAGCTCACTACTTGAAGTCGGCCTGTTTGTGAATCACACCCACTCAAACTTATCTGCGGGGATCAGAGATGAGCCGTCACCTCCTGCTTTGTTTGGTTTACATGCTTGTCTCCAGCTGTGACGGGGTCAGAGTCCCCTGATCGCTGAGACAGATAATTGTGTGCTTTTAATTTGATCTTCTGCTACATCGGAGGCTTTGCAGTGTGGGGAACGGGCAGGAGGGAGTGGAGAATGCACTCAGCCAGAAAGCCTCTGTCGGAGAACAATGCAAATACGCTGGTCAAATGCAAGGAAAGGCAAATGTGTCACAAACAGACTCCTTTGTGGACACAGAGGAGCAGAATAACAGAGGAGGTGTGAAACATAATGGTTAGCATGTGAAAATGAGCGAGCTCCTTAAGGATTTGGACAGGAGCACATTTATTTGTTTTGGCTTCAGACTCACATTACTTTGGATGTGAAATGACAGCATGTGGTTAGAGGGTGGATTTCAGCTCATATCTGAATCGCTGCAACAGCAGACCTTCAAAGATTGCCATGTGCTGCGGCGCTTTAATGTCCCTCCCTGCATACACCAGAGTTGGTGAAGGAAAATACTTTGCATGAGGACTCAAAGGTGGATTGGTAACCCAGACATCAGGCGTATAATGGGCTAGAGAGAGAAACAGAACATATGAAACTGACGATATGAGAGTGAATAGAGCGGCTGTTTCACTGAATATGATAATATTCAGCAAAGTGCTGCTGCCTCCAAATGTTTTTGGCATTCTGAAACGGGGAGGCTATGAACAAAAAGTGCTTTTTTCCATTTATATTTTTGGCCCAATTCGGCTTAAAATCCCCTCAAAGTGAAGCTGACAATCTGTGCTCTTAACCTCATAGTTACTGTATCATTTCACTTTTCAAAATAAGAGTATTAAAGCTTGTTAGCAGCTGGTCGGGGACCTATGGAGCTGTGCTGAGGCAAACACCGACTCCCTATTGTGCTTTTTAATTTAACTGTGGACTTCAGCCAGTGGAGACTTTCTGATGTGACTCTGACTAACAGAAAACAGAAATTCCATATGTCCTCGTGCTCTGATTTTACCCGTCAGTAAGCAGGTTCTGTAATTAAACTAAAGTTTCATGCAGATATATTTTGTCTGGGTGGTAGGCGGATGTAAACAAGCCTCCATTACTACTCTGGCACCTCACTTGTAAACCCACGCATAACATTGTGATGTAAATAAGTGACTTTTCTTATGTTGCTTTTGCTCATAAATATGTCCAGGAGATGCTGTAAAATCTTTCATATAGTCAGTGACTTCAATAAAGGTTTTAATCTCAGATTCAACAGCCATGCAAGCCAATCTGTGAGGCTGTCCTTGAGCTGAATGCTCCATCAGTATGCCAATAAGTTTAAAGTGATAATGTACAGCTGAAGGCTGATGGGAATTTGTGAAGTTGTGCTGGTATTTGGTCATGGACTAACGTACTGGACAAAATGAAATTTTGACTGGATGATGGTGCCAGATGGACAGTCACGAGATAGAGGCCATAGGGGGTTATTACAGTTCATCCACTGGGGACCATGAGTGTGGGTACCAAAGTGATCGTGGTGGCATTAAAGGGGATTTATGGTTGTGTGCAGACCCTACGCATGTCGCCTACGCTGTTGTGAGCATTTATACTTGTGCGGTGGTGTGTCTGTGTCACTCTGCAGTTACACCTCCAAAACACTAGTTGGCGGCGGAGGTTCCTGTGAAGTGCTGTAAAGTTTAGTTGATTCAAAACACACATTAGCCACACATTAAACACACGTTAAACATGGCTTAATAGAGACAATTTCAAACACAAGTACACAAATCAGCTTCACTATAACTCGCAGCATTCTCAGACAAACACTTGTCTTTATCTGGACACATTTTCCCCACAAATACAACATGCTAACTTTATTAGCACAAGCCTATGGCATTTTACGTTGTATAAATTAGCCTAGCAGCTAGCAGACTTTTCCTCTTCTCATATGGGACAACAGCAACATTTAACAAAGGTAACGACACACAATTTGGCTCCATTACAACTCACAAGGTTCACTGACAAAACAACTGTATTGTTCTAAACACGTTTTCCAAACAAATACAAAATGCTAATGTTATTAGCGCCAGCCTATGGCATTTTACATTGTATAAATTAGCCTAGCAGCTAGCAGAGATTTCCTCTGCTCATATGAAGCCAGGATAAATCACACACAAGACTTAAAATGATATTTTAGTGGAGGCTTTATTGTCTTCACAATTTATTGTTTCTTATCTGTGAAATTAAAGTAAATCAAAGCTTTGTTTCCACTGAGGAAAATGGTTTCAGCTTACAGAAACTGACAGGAGGTCTGCATCACCGCAACATGTACTTACAATTCTGGGTAGGTGCATGTCAGGCTATGGCGTAGGGTACGGTGTAGGCTCTGCGTTGACGTGGAGCCTACGCAGTAGCTACGGCGTTGATTCAACACACAAGTATAAATTCCCTGTTAGAAGGGAAGCTGGGGGATCACCAAAGTCAGTTAGATTCGTCCTCTGGGAATAATAAATGCTGCTCAATTAAAGGTAAAAAAGCCCTAAAAATATCTTATAAACAAGGCCAGATTGGAAACAGCTGAATCTGTAAGAGCGGGCAATTCACGTCTCTGTTTTTACTGTCTGTGAGAAAGCGTTCAGTTTGACTCTGCCTCTGCAGCACTACAAAGCCTAACATAAATCGGTCGACAGATCTTTACCACTTTTGCTCAGGATGACTACTTTTCCATATCCATATAGAAGTTTATTGCTGCTGTGTGAAAAACTGCAACTCCAACTTTGCCGATCAGTGATTTACATGGTGTTAAATGGGTTTAGCAAGCCTGAGATCTCTGGGGCAAAAACGATGCTATATGCAAAATTAAGTGTATACTTTGAAAAATGCATGAGGCGAGATCTGAGGGACGGACTTCTTTTCTGTGAGGGCAGTCGGTTGGAATGACGTCTCCATGGAGCAGAGCTGTTGACTGAGCAAATACTGGGCGGAATGATTTGCTTATATATACACACTCACACACACATTCACACCTGGACCTTTACAAGCACGGTGCATGTAGTCGTCTCCCTAATGGCTTGTTAATGTCATCATAATGTTTCTGCACAACCTCAAAAGTCCTCATGAATATCTGAGCTCTGAAACACAACAAGGGGCTGAGTCTGAAAGTCTGAAAAGATTAAAGATGTTTGAGCGATACCTGTTTCACGGTATTACACGACATTTCAAAGAGGAAAGATTTCAAAGTTTTCAGAGAGACTGAGGAAAGTGTTCTTCACATATTCTCATGTTTTAATTAATCCACATACAATTAACAGACACAAATAAAGCAAAGAATATTTGCTGTAATTAATAACACTTAAGTAAATGCAGAAAAATGAAAAGCACACACTTATTTTTTCAGTCTCCTCCAGGGGTGACTTTGACTTAATATCCAAGTAAGCTCTTATAATTATATTTTAAAATATTTATGAACGCTATTTCAGCAGTCTGGAAAAAATACATTATGATTAAAAGAGGGAATATTTCAGCTGCGGTAGCGTTAAGAATCCACAGTGTAGGTTTATCTATGACTGACTGGTGAGACAGTTAATTACTTACGTAACATTGTCTGCACATCTACAGCGCTCACCTCTTCAGGTTTGACGTGTGAGTCAGTGAGGTTTATTAAACCAGATAATCAAAGCCTTTTGTGTCACACTTCATGAATCTTTCAGCCCTTTCTCTTCTGTGTTTTGTTCAGAGTCACCTTTCTGTCGTGAGATCAAACGCATCAACCTCCTCTGTCAACGACGAACCCACGAATCAAGTAGAAGGCTTTGAAATAGATTCTTAATTACTGACTTCATGCATCTTCATCCAAAGCACTTTTGGAGTTCACATATCTTGCACAGTGAAGGGTGTTATTGCTGTTGCGTAATGTAACAAAACCCTTAATGTCTGTCTTTATGTGCTTATTTTTCTCTCGGCAGGGTGAGTGCTCCCAGAGGTGCTATAACATCTTTGTGCTGGAGACGGTGTGTGTCGCCTGGTTCTCCCTGGAGTTCTTGCTGCGCTTCATTCAGACACAGAGCAAGTGTATGTTCCTGCGTACGCCTCTGAATGTCATCGACGTGGTGGCCATCCTTCCCTACTACATCACCCTCATTGTGGATTCTCTGTCAGTTGGAGGGAAACCCGCAGGCTCAGGGAACAACTACCTGGAGAAGGTGGGGTTGGTTCTCCGAGTCCTGCGAGCTCTGCGGATCTTTTACGTGATGAGGTTGGCCCGCCACTCTTTAGGCTTGCAGACGCTTGGTCTGACAGTGAGGAGGTGTACACGTGAGTTCGGCTTGTTGCTGCTGTTCCTTTGCGTGGCCATGGCTCTTTTCTCCCCGCTGGTGTTCCTAGCTGAGAGCGAGATGGGCGCCAAGCAGGAGTTCACAAGCATCCCTGGTAGCTACTGGTGGGCGGTCATCTCCATGACCACAGTCGGCTATGGAGACATGGTGCCCAGGAGCATCCCCGGCCAGGTGGTGGCACTCAGCAGCATCCTGAGCGGCATCCTCCTCATGGCCTTCCCCGTCACGTCCATCTTTCACACCTTCTCTCGCTCCTACGTGGAGCTGAAGGAGGAGCAGAGCCGGGCGCTGAGACAGAAGCCGGACTCACAGGACAGCACCAAGTCCCAGAACAGCGAGGACTCCCAGGAGACGGACAGCTACCACGGCATCACGGAGGCCGCAGTCTCATCAGTACAGCGGAGGAAGTCCATGGCTGCTCACAGGGCTGCTGAGATTAGAGCATCCACAAAAACTTAGCTGCTCTGTCTGTCTGTGTGTCTGTGTTAAAGTGGCAGTCTGGGAGGCCGTGACACTCAGCACTGGGACTTCAAAGTTGACAAGCTGCAGGATTGTGAGCCGAAGGAGATTTTCCTCTCTGGAGATTGAGGTCTCTGCTTTGATCGTGTGAAGCTTGTGCAGCAGAGTGTATCGGAGTTTCTTAAGTTTTACAGAGAAGCTCCAGAGGTCTTTTTATCCACAAATTTGACTTAAAAAGACGAGTGACGTTACAATATTCATGATTAAATGACTAGTCAAATGAGATTAAAAAAAAGTTACTGGGACAGTTTTCTCACTGACTGCGATTCAGACTTGAGATAAGTCTTAGCAAAAGGGAAATCTAACACCAAAACATCATAGACTAATAATTAATGATCCTCATGTAGCTGCATGCTAATGCGAGCTCATCTTTTATTTGCTCTGGCAGATGCGTCTGGCCTCTCTCCCATTCAGAGGTCCAGTAGTTAAATATGGAGCATGTTTCAGATGTTAACTAACAACTTGCAGAGCCCGCATGCGTTACGCAAAATGCATAATGGTGTCATTTTTGGCTTGCGCACCCTCCAACCCATGCTCATCTCCAGATTTTCAAAAACAGACGGTTTTTATGAGATGCACGAACTTCAGTTTTACCCCATTCATGGCAACACTTGCTCAGAGCAACTGATGTCGTATAAAGAGCTAGAAAATCCACGTAGGGAGGGAGGGGAGGAGGATAGGTCAAACAACACCAGACTTTCATCGAGGGGACCGTGTCAACTTCAGCCTGTTACATGCACTTTCTTTTTTTCAAAATACACTTCTTTTTTCACAGGAAATGTACTGTTTGCATACAGTCTCTTTCAAAATAAACGCACTGCATCGGTACAACACTGCGAATTGACATTTTTTTCCTTCAGCAACAAATGCACATGGTTACGTTTAGCCAAAACACATGGTTGAGTTTTGGCCAGTGGTTCCCAGCTGGTCCAGTCACATGGTCCAGATTTGTCCTCAGGTGTTAGTTCAAGGCCCACACAGTTTATTACATTTAGTGTCATACTTGTGTTTGGCCGTGTCGTTGAGCTAGGTTTCTGTCTTGGTTATGCAGCTCTCTGTTAGTTACTCTCTCTGCAGCAGGAAACAGCACTTCAAAGTAAAAGCTCTTTGCCAGAAATTCACTGTACTTCAAAGTAAAGTGTGTTTTTTTTCACTTGTGGTCCATTCAGAATGGACCCGCGACCCACCAGTTGGGAACCACTGGTTTAGGCAACAAAAGCACAGGGCTGGGTCTAGAAAAAAAAGTTGATGGTTGTTGGACGCATCTGCCACGCCTCTTGCCCGACTCACTTGGACTTTCACCCCCTTAACTTACATTGTAGTCCTGCTGCGATCCCCCTGATGCTGCCCGGTGCTGTTACACAATAACTGAGACTGGCTGCGTATCATGTTGTGAAAGGACAGCTTTTTTCATCAGTACTAGATGCCAAAAGTCACTGAACAAGTGCTGTTATTCGACGACTTCAGAGTGAGACCAGGTCGGTCAGGGACCCCTTAATTGATACCCATTAGGTCATGGACCCTCATTTGACAAGATTTTGCATCAGGGATGTCCATCTAAAAAGATTTTAGTTGTTAGACATGAGTAAGACTAATTCTATAGTTGTCAACTGCAGTTGAGGAGATAACATAGGGGAGGTGAAAGCTATGATCAGAATCATCAGCCTTATGTCTCTTACTCACATCTGGCTCACTTCTATAGTGAACTATAGTGAAAATAATCCATCCCCCATTTTTCTGGGGATGCCTGGGAACTCCCACAAGGACCCCTGGTTGAAAACCACGGCTTTAAAGGAGTAGTTTGCCATTTGCTTGCTCACTTATTGCTAACGTATTTAAGTTTAACTTTTAATAAAGTTGGTTTTGGTTGTAGCCTTGTTAGAAATGACAACGTTGTTCAATATATATGATTATACACTTAAGGGAGCGATCACACCGAGATGAAACACTAGAAACGCGACGCCAGTAAAACCATTGTTTTCCTATGATACGGCGCGTCTGACCGGCGTTCAAGCATCTTTTTAGACGGGCGTTTTTGTAGATGCGCGTAGACGCTGAAAAGTTAAAATATTTTCAACTTTTTGAGCGTCAGACACCAGTAGCTAGCGCACATTGAATAAGCGCTTCCAGCGTTTCAAGCGTCTTTGAAGCGTCCGCGTGTCCAGCGTCTCATTTCTGTGTGATCACCCGTTAAGACCCGAGCAACTGCCATACCATGCAACTTGCCATGAAATCCAGGATTCGTACCACATTGTTGTGACCTCCTGAACTTTGTGTAGCACCATCATCAGGTTCACAATTCCTACAAACCTTGTTTTGATGAACCTTGTTAGTCACTGGGGTCCATAAGAAGAAAGATTTTGCTGACAGGTTGTAATTTAACAGCGCAAACCTTGAGCTGTGCAGTTTGCTGACTGTGTGAAACTGTATGGAAAAAGATTGGTTTAATATTATTTGTGTGAGGAAATTGACAACCCATGTGTAAATTTGTTAATATAGAACATCTTCCACAATACAAAAAAAAAGATTTGTAAACTCAAATGGATCTGCAAATACACATATACCACAATTTAAAAAAACAAACAAACAAAAAACTGTGACTTTATTTTTTTTTTTTTTTACAAATGAATGAGAAGCTTTGGTGAATGTCTTCTGAACGTTTAAAAGTCAGTTTTTATCTGTGAATCTCAATTCTACGCTTGCAGATTTGCCTTTCGTGCATTCTCAGTCTTTTTTTTTTTTAGTATGTGGAATTTGTGTATTTCCAGATCAATCAATCAATCAATCAATTTTATTTATAAAGCCCAATATCACAAATCACAATTTGCTTCACAGGGCTTTACAGCATATGACATCCCTCTGTCCTTAGGACCCTCGCAGATCTGTTTTATATAAGCAAAAAATTTGTGAGTTTACAAATGTTTTATGTATTTATGGAAGTACTTTTATATCTACAGATTACACATTTACACACAGATTGTCAATCTCCTCACACAGATAAAATCTTTCTCCATAAACGGCAAAGAAACTGCATCTTGTTGGCCGATCCTCCGCTGACAGATTTTTTTAATGTGTTATTATAGTAAATAACCCAAAATTGCTGCGCTTATTTTCTAACTTTGGATATTATGTGTGATTACTGAGCACACTGAAAGTGGCATGTGCGGTGGTTAGATCTACTGTGTCTGTTGGAGAGATGGAGATGCTGGTGCCAATCCTCTTGTCACATATTGAAGTAAAGTGACCCGTAAATGAAACCAGTCAGAGAAGCAAACACTAACAAGTGTAATAACAGGTTCTTTTCATAGAGGCTTGACGGACTGTTACAAATCTTATCCACCTTCAGGCAGTGAAAACACCACACACCGAACACTAAAAACCATTTCAGATAATTCCTAATTTTAATAACAAATTTCAGTCTTACTCATTTTCCAAATACAGCACTTCATATTCTTTGACTTGAGTGCCTTGTACTTTGAAGTGACACATTAAAAAACCATTTCCCCAAATTGTTGTCAAGTCGGAGCTCATCAAAGCAGCTACGTGCTCAAGAGTGCAAATTAGGTTCCTATACACCAGGCAGGATGTAAGGGCACGCTGAATCTGCCAACTCTGAATCGCAGTCACTGGATTAACTGAATCATTAAAAAGCATGGAAATATTACACAGAAACTATTATATCTACAGTATTTAGGTTTTAGGAAATGAAAATATTGTTTTGACGAGGAGCGATGAGATGTTTAAACAGGAAGCCAAACTTAAATGGATTTGTGCTTTGCGCCATGAATCCATAGCCTGAAGAACAGCCTCTTTTGAAAAATGTAATAAAGATTAAAATGAACACAGTCCCAAGTGTAGAGGCTTTGATTTAACAATTTATTATACACAAGGACGCTCTCAGATTTGCAAGAGAGTGCGTGCTGTACTTGTGCACTTAGAAAATCCTAAATTGGTTTGTCTGCGGCTTGCTTCATGTTTTTTTCTTTTCCACATCTGTTATTAATAATAAATGATTTCTGTTTCCAGGAGTGGTGTCGGCACAATGCACTGTAAAATGGATAAATACTGACAGCGCCTCAATGAAGTGTTCAACAAAAGGAGCCAATTCAAAGGCTTCTCCTGTTCACATTTTTAGCGCTGCAAGGTCAAGCTTCTGTATGGATGATGTTCCTGAAGGGAAAATAGCCCCTGAACTATATCCACCTCATTTCATGGTTTCTTCAACGCTTTACTTTAGACTACAGAACCTCAGAATATGTTTCCAGAGCCACATGTGAGTGACAAGCCAGTGAGAGAACATTTTGGAGGTTGTGTAGAGAGGAGAATTTGGTAGAGACATGTCCCTACAAATATCCAGCCATTACTCAACTGTCCCTAGGAACAATTTTGATCAAAATCTTTTAAATATAACCATAGTTGTCTGTCAGTGTCTCGTCAGTGGTACACAATAATAATAATAATCTTTATTTATAAAGCACTAACAGAGTTACAAAGTGCTTCACGTCAATAATTAAAACAGCCATGAGATGAAAACAACTTTTAAAAGATAATCAAAACTAAAAAGGAAATAAAAGACAGTTTAAAAGAACTTAAAACTCAGGTAAAATCAGGATAGGTATGTTTTTAGAAGGGACTTAAAAGAGATCACTGATTCTGCCGACTTGATTTCCTCGGGCAGATTGTTCCAGAGCCTCGGGGCCTTGACAGCAAACACTCTGTCCCCTTTAGTTTACAGCCGGGCCTCTGAAACAGATGAAAGACCTCTGCTGCCTGAGGACCTCAAAGTACTAAGCTGGGAGAGAGACCATGAAGAGCCTTAAAAGTGATCAGTAAAATCTATTCTAAAACATACTGGGAGCCGGTGTGAAGAGGCTAAAACTGAAGTGATGTGATTATGTCTCTTGGTTCTGGTTAAAAGCGTGGCAACTGAATTCTGTGCAGTCTGGAGTCGATTAATAGATTTTTGATTTAGGTAAGAAAAGAGGCTGTTGCAGCGACCCAGGCGTGAAGAGATGAAGGTGTGTAGAATTGTGTCAGTGAGTGTGTTTACAAGGTCTTTAGTACCCCGGTTTTGATTGGGTTTTTAAGTATCCCGTTTTTGTGTTTGTGCATGTAAACACCATATCCCAAATTCAGAAACCGGGTTATGCCCTTTTCCCAGTTTCAAGAAACCCGGTTTTGCCACCTGGAGTACTCCAATAGAAGCTGGGATACTGGAGCATGTATACGTTTTATCCCAGACTCTGACGGCTGCCCGCCGTGTGCGCAGGCGCCAGAGTGACGCACCAGTTATACAAGCAACATGGCGGCAACGAGAGCTTCCCATTTTTGGAGCGACGAAGAGACTGAATTTTGCCTGAAAATGATGAAAGAACTCAACATAACTACGTGTTTAGACGGCAGAAGACACAGAAATGCCGACCTATTATGGCTATTATATGGTGATGTATTCAATATTTGTTGTCGCTCTCTCCTCCCATTGCAGAAGATGAAGTGGATGAGCCATAGCTGTAATGCGATGTGAGTATTTAGGCTACTAACGCTAAGCCCGCTAGAAGCCACAGACGTCTCATTTTTGTCTTACTTCTAAATATAATAAATATATCACATTTCCCGCTAAATCTGTTGTAAACAAAAGACGTAAGACGTAACATGCGCCTGCACAGATAGGATGCAGTGATCAGAAAACGGGTTGCTGGTATTTATCATGTATACAGGGATATGAATAACCGGGTTTCTCTGTGTTCTATGTAAGCATCATATCCCCGATATGCTC